ATCACAAATATCACAGCTACAAGGATCATCTGATCCGGTGTCCGATAGTGTTTCTTTCATATTTACCGAAAAAAACGGTAAACTTCTTTTGGGAATAAATATACACCGAAAAAACCGAAACTTGAATTTTAAAATAAACACCGAGAAAAGGACGACGAATTTTAGAAAAAATAAAAACCGAAAACGCGGAACCCTGCTTATACATAAGCATTTTTATGTGACGAGTCAATCAATGCCTGAATTGGCATACTTTTTAAGCACTCTTGATAACTTTTTTAACAACGCTATCAAAGGGTCCAAAGAATATTTTTCAAATTCTTCCTCCTTAGCTTTAAATTAATCAACTCAAAAGCGAAATGGGCAATCCTTTAATTGTGACGGGCATGGGGGCCGGTCCGATGACTCCAAGCGTCTACCGTGCTTTCAAGCACGGTGGACGCTTTTACCCACGGTGGGACATCATCATTCGCAGAGTGATGATAAGTGCCGTCACACTACTTATTGGGCACGAACGGGAATCTAAATATTTGTCGACGGATTTTCAACACCAATTCAATTCCCCGCTAAATATAGCGGGGAAATTCAGTTTCTCCGCTCGATTTAGCGGACAAATTCAGTTTCTCTACTAGATTTAGCAAGGAAATTGACGTCACATGACTTCAACACCAATTCGAATCCCCGCTAAATTTAGTGGGGAGTTGAATTGGTGTTGAGCTCACGTGACGTCAATTTTCCCACTAAATCTAGCGGAGAATCTGAATTTGTTCATAGGTGACGTGACACTAAGTCATGTGAGGTCAATTTCCCGCTAAAGTTAGTGGGTAAATTGAATTTTAGGGGAGCGGAGAGGAGGAGATAAAGGAAAGGGATAAGAAGAGGAGAAGAGGGTACGGAAGAGGAGGAGGGTCATACCCTCCATCCCGTACCCTTGCCTTCTCCTCCTCAAGAGCTGCGCTCTAATTTCACATTACAGGGATTTGTAAACGTCTTTCATGTTTTATCATATTTCTTTTTGCCCACTAAACGAAATGCGGTTAGTAAAATCCCAGCCTAAAAGAATTTATTCCAGCCCAAAATTAATTGCATGGCCCCTTTAACGTGGTAATATTAGTACATAGGTTCATTAAAATACGCACCAAGTGTTTTAACGTTTGGGACAATTTCTATAATTGAGGGGCCCAGGATGATATTCAAAGGACTTGAAACACGCTTGTTTGGCATCAATTTAGTATCGAAAGTCCCAGTACATGAACTTAAACAATATTTGAACTTTTACAGAGCGATTGCATTTTGTGTTATTATTTTATAAAATTTGTATAATATATATACTGATTCTAATGACTGCGCTCTGTTTTTGCGAAGAATCTAGTAGCCTCGTGCAAGACGTTATTCCCAACTTTCTGGGACATCACCGCATCGGCGTATGCATTAAAATAAAACTTTCAACCGAACAACAATAAGCGTCGCAATGTTTCCTGGAAATATCTTACATGAGAGTCATAGAATACCAATAAGCGGTAATTGAACTTTAGAACACATATAGTTTTTTATTCCACGGGTCTACAATTGTTTTTAATTTTTTACATTGAATATTATGGGTTACATTCACAAAATTATCAATTTATGCTTTTCTTGATTAAAGATCGTAATGCTCCCCGGGACTGTAATTGTCTGGGTATCATAAAACGCAAATCAACTAAAATTTTAATATTTCCCTAAAAACTTTTTTTATTCCTTGAAATGTCCCAAAATGTTGGCCATGAATGGCTAAGCAATAAACTGTGTTCGAATAAAGCACTGGTTTGAATGAACAAGACACCGCGTAGCGACAAAATTTTACGCTCTTCTCAACGGATACTCTCTGGGAAATAATACATTATACCCTTTTTCGCCGACTTTTAAAAGAGAATTAACTCTTTTAAAAGTCGGCGAACCAGCGCCTGCGCTGCTGGGCACGCGCAGAGTTGAGATCGCGAACTGATTCGCCGATACTTTAAGTGAGTTCGTTCTTATAAGTGCCCTTAAAACAAGGCTATTAAAGGTGTGCCTCGAAGGAGTATGGGAATAAAAAAATTTACCAGAAGACGAAAAAATTACTTCAAACAAAACAACTACGGTGATCCGGCGAAAAGATATTAGGGCCAAGTCACGTCTAATTAGTAGTAGCAGAGGCGACGCTCGTGTGGGTGAAAATATTAGAGCTCTATTAATGACAAATTGAATTAACGGTGTACGCAAGCATATTAACAATCCAAACAGTAGGCTAGCGACACACTTTCAACATGACTAAGCGTGCAACCCGGGTCTATTAGTCGTCGACCAGCAAACACAAACGTGACTCGCCAATACTAACAACAGTTGGTGCAAAAACAAATTAACGGAAGAGTGACAATACCTCTACAGTAATCTTCAAAGTCAGTCATGACCGGAACCTCAGAAGATAGTTTAGTAATTGAAATAAGCCATAAAAATTAAAAAAAAAACACCTTAGATTTAACTTGCGAGGTCCTTATGCCGCCCGATGATTGGTGTTGATGGGATCGGATAAATGTCACCCCGCACCACCCCACTCATTTTCAAAGAACAGAAGCTGTACATAAATCGGACAACTAAAAAACAAAATCGGCTCGGCGGCACAGCATAAGAGCCACCCTGATAAGCATTTTGGTCTGCTCCAGAAGAC